CATGTCAAAAACTGGTCTCAAGATGAGGCTGAAAACCGGTGCAAAACTTTTCAGCTTGAAAGTTGATATATGATAATGTTTTGACTATGTTTCATCCCTTTGACTCCTTCCTTCATCCAATTGACTTCTAATACTCTCGAATCTTCATCATAAGGTTAGAAACGAGTTTAGAGTATTTGCACTTTGGTCCCTGAACTTCCACTTTCTTCCATTTTAGTCATTTTGCGCACTTTTCTCCTCAATTTCGCTACATTCATCACTTTGTTCTGCAAAACATAAATTGCATAAAATTAAGCTATATTCCAACATTTTAATCAACAATTGCTCATGTTTTGACAGTAAAATAAGTACGTAAAAACACACTTATCAAGTCTGCTATTATTTTTTTTTATTTGATTTTTATTGATAGATTCCAGTGATGCCAAAAGATCATTGATTAATTGTAAAGCTAAATCTAGTGGATCTCTTTTGTTTTAATTAAACATTCTTTTACACAATGTTTTAGCCTTTTTGATATGGCCTCCGTCTGACCCCCATTATTTGGAATTTTAATGATTGGAATAGTGCTTTTTGAAATGTGTGGTTAAAAAAGAAAAAGTTTTGGGATTACATATAATATTATTTTATTGGAAAATGTGATCAATAAGAAGAGAGAGAAAAATGAATTATATTTTTAATGGGGCCAAACATGCGCATAGTGATACAGTGAAGCATGTATGACAAATGTGAAGACACAACTCATGATCCAACCTTCTAGCTCCTGTTTATTCACTAGTGAATACCAGGAAATAAATATCAAAAACTCCTAGATTCACATCAGACACAGAGAATTTGAAGTCGTTACAGATAATTGAGAAGACTCACGTTCTTATTTAATTGGCCCTCATATTAACAGATCCTAGTGGTTGTAATTACACAATGCAACCATAATTCTAGTGCACGAAGGAAATCTCAAAATTATTACAACTAATCCTAATGCTAGAAAGAAAGCTCAAAATCACCAAAATAAAAAATCCTAATATGGGACGAAAATCTAAAAAAACACCATAACAATACTCAAATTGCAAAATGGCCCAAAACAATTCCTAATTTCTGTTTGTGGGCTGCATCACTTTGTGACTGCCGTAGGCTAATATGAATGTAATTTTTGGTGCAGTATGCTGGAATGACGTTGCTGGAGGAGATGGCGTCAATCTTTATCACGCCATACTTGCTTCTATTTGTTGTCCCAAAGGTTGTGATTTATAATATGCTTATATCAATCTGTTCAGCATGCTATTGATGCTAGTTTCTGAACTACCAAGCGGTTTGATGTTGCAGCGGGTGGATGATATTTTGCAGTTCATTGTGGATTTCACTGTGAATGTTGAAGGTGTAGGTCATGTTTGCCGGTTTGTATTGCACATGTCTTCTCCTTTTCCACTTAAACTATCAGTTCGTGTTTAGTATGCAACATTGTAACTTACTGGGCAGTACACCCAACAAGATTTGAGTGTTTTAAGGTTTTCCTGCACAATATATTATGTTCTTCTCACTTTTATGTCCAAATCCAACAACTTGACGTATTTTTCTCCGCCACCAGTTTCAGCGTCTTCGATTTTGAAAATCATGGCAACAGCAAATATGGTTCACCATTTAACTCGCCTCGCATCCAAAGGAGCTCCCAGGGGAAAATGGAAAAATCGATCTTGAGGTATGACTATCATAATTTGAATAATAAACCCATGCAACATGTCAAATACTTTTCTTCTTGGTCTTATTTGTGAAATTTGAGATGGTTCTGGTGACCTCAACTACCATTCTTGCAGCTTCCAAATTAGCTATCCTTCATGGGAACCAGATGCTCAGGGAAAACGATTTCTTGCATCTCTCAAAGCCTTTCGAGATCAAACGTTGCAAGGGCGAGGAATGAGAATTGCACAGTTGGCTTCAGGAATGCAGCAGCAGAGTCGAAAATTCCAAGGGTTAGGTGACCAAAACAGCTTCTTCTCAAAGGAAATGCCTTTTAGTAACGTGTTAACTGGTTCAATGTGGCTTAACGATGGTGAACACAAGAATTTTCCATATATTCTCGACTGGTATTATACCTCACAAAATCACGATAGAGCTGGTTATTCGATTGATATTTCAACTGATACTTTCGTTGGTGTTGAGGAGAACCCTAAAGATTTCTGGACTGCTTCCCTCTCAACACAAAATGAAGCAAAATATGGTGACAACTCGAGATATTTTGACAACGATCGAGTGCAGAGTCATCTCCAAACTACTACATCTTCTCCTCTCTTCCGGGGAAGTGTCCTACAACATCACAACTCAAGTATTGCAGAACCTCAACCTACCGGGAGCCGTTGGTGGGATAGAAGTCAACCACAAGGTGCCGATCTGCCGAAAGGTTTTCTTGATCCTCCAAATTTCTTCCACAATGCTCCTCATGATCATTACGATAATTTCTCAGACAAGAGTGTGGACGATCAAGAACACTCGGTATGGAGGAACCATAAAAGACTTTCTCAAACTTTCTTTATGGAAGATTTTGATGATGGCGAACTTTGTCTTCCATTCGGTGATATATATAGCAGCAGGCATATAGAGAGTCCCACTGAGAATGCAGATCCTTTAAATCTTGTGTAATTCTGCAGGAATGCACGACTATATTCTTTGTTGTATATAATTAAATAGTGAATAGGCTTCAGGTAGAGTTGGAGGGATGCTACTCAAGTCCGTTTAAAGTTGGAAAACACGGATATTCACAATCACTTAATAATCTTTTCACACCCTTCATCACACTGATTTTATTGTGACTTTCAGCAAGTCTTTCACAGCAATGCTTGGAATTTTGATGCACGTAAAAAGTGAATGCTTTGCTTTGGTATTTCGAGCATTTTGCCCAGGATTAAAATCCAATTTTAATTGAAAATATGGTCGTTATTGGGTCTCAATCGTCTAATAAAAGTCAACAATAACGGCTAATTTTTCAATTTTAATCTCTACCGAACATGCATTAGTAGCTTTTTGTACTGATGATTGATGAAATATGATAATTTGTTTAGTAAGAGCTCCCTTTGTACTTTGGAACGTTCTAGTTTGTTGAGATTGTCTTGACTATTTATTTTTTGAGTAATACATTCATAGTGAACGAATATCGTAGTTTTCCTATATTCATATATCTAATCATTAAATTTTTAATCAATAATGTTCAATGCGGATAGTTAAGTGATTATTTATATGACATAATAGCTCACTATAAATAATATTATTCTTATTTTCTGTGAATCCTCTTTTTTTAACACATTCTGTCATGAAATCCAATTTTGAGACTATCACTGTTAGAGCTACAACAAAATGTTATAATTCTTCTTATAAGCCACACATCCGTTAAAATGTGTTTTTAGGGAAAAATATATTTTGAAATAGTAAGGGGCCATTATCTTCGTGTTTCATTTTTGTGTTTTTAGTTTTGAATTCATTTTATATTTTCTGTTTTGAGTGTTTGTTTTGGAATTGCTCAAAACGCGTTCTCTTTGTCATTCTGAAAAATTGTTTCACAAAATAGAAAACTTGAAAACGCGTTTACTTTGAAATTTTGAGAATATTTTTTGAGAATATTTTATTTAATAAATCTGATTGTTCAATAAATTTTAATTATTTAATGTTAATCGATTGAAGAAAAAAAATTAATGAGGTAACATTGCTAAAATTCTCTCGTCTAATTCAAATGCTTTGTCTTGTTTTTGTGTCCGAACAAAAAAAAATAAAAAATGCATATATTATCTTCATCACATTCTTCATACAAAGAAAACGAATTTTCTGAACTATTTAATTTCAGACAAGGAAACCATTTTTCACTTATTATTCCAACTATTGAATCCGTAGATGAATATTTTCGTTCTCATGCGGGCATAAGAAGTACAACACTCAACCTCCAAGAAAGAACAATCTCCCAGTTTCACCCGCAGAACAATCTCTGTTGGAGGTTGGAAAAAAGAGGCACAAAGCAAGACAAAAATTGGCCACTACATCATATAAGTGGCAACTAATTTAGAAGCTAATAGTAAAAGAAATGACAATGGAAAAATGAAAAAACTACATTTGAACATCTGTCCAAAAAACATTCCCCAATTTTTTTTTAAAAAAAATGACTCCAATGCACATCATCTAAATTTCAGAAGCATCGCACATAAATTGGTCTTCTCCAACAACTAATGGTGTTAAGTTTAATGTCAAGTGATTCATTTGATCTTTTTCCCTAACAATTGATAATAATAAGAAGTTCAGTTTAACAAGGAATCGGTACAAGTTGCGTCCACATTATAGGAAGTTCATATATTGTAGGAACTAGACGCTCAACTTGAGGGCTTGAATTACTCCGTAAAGAAAGAGTTTAGAAAATGAAATTTTAATTTCCTCCACCTCCACAGCCGCTGCCGCCACCACCCTAACATCCTCACATGCCTTCCATGTGGCCGTTGCCACTGCCACCAGCATCACCTCCTCCTCCCACTTCTTCTCCTGGAGTTCCTCCCCTTCCTCCATCATTGCCTCCCACTTTAATGTTTCCCAGAATGATGGAAATAGCAGTTTGAAGGAGGATTTACAAAATGAGGATAATTTGATCAATGAATGTCCACTGAAGCTCGTGGAAGGTAAAATAGTACAGAATGAAGTTTTGTGTCAGCCAATTGACAAGAATGGTCCTGAAGCAAAAAAAGTGGATGCTTTTGTTGCTTATTCACTATCTGATTCTGATATGGATATGGAAGGTTTGTCCAATAATTTATGTGAAACATTTCTTAATGTGTTACTAAAATGCATGCATCTAAGTTTGATACTCATTCAATGACACTCCTTTCATGCTTATTGGGAGCTGTATTTTACATTTCAGAGTTCAGAGTACAAGATTTAGCATAGGAAAGTCATTTAAATTGGCCCATGGTGATACTAAATAGTGCGAGCTCAAGGCCTTTATCGAGAGCCAGACAATTACTAAAAGAACTATACATAAACATAAAACCCAATTCCCAGATTTGTAGAAATCACATATATTGAGTACATCAAATAACCAGCGTGCAAAGAAATTTCAACTCCAACGTATGAGATTATGCAGGAGCGAGCTTAGGACTTGCTAGATTCAATATTCAAACAAGAACTACCCAAACAAGATTAGTGTTATTCAAGGCATATACATAATACATACAACTCTAAACAAAAGTTTAACAGATATTCAGAGAGAAAGATAGACCTTAGAAAGAAGGGAGTAAGGCTGCAAGACAGTCAAATGTTTTTCACAATATCAGTCATAGAAGGAAGACTCTCCAGCTGCAAACCAATCAAACAATTAATCACTATTCAGACAAACATTATTCAACTTCTATTAATCAAAATAGAAAATCTAAAAGAATTTTTCCCATACCTAGCGAATCAAATAAATATCAATTGCAGGTGACCCATGGTGGTACTGGATGCGCTTGATTGAGAGAAGTAGAGTGATGGTGGTCCGCAATCGAAACGGTGGCCGACGACGGTGGAAATATGGCGAAAATCGTGACTGGTAGCGCGGTTTTAGGTGGTGATTGAGGCTGTTTTCGGCAACTCCGTGGCCATGTGATGACAACGGGTTGAAGATGGAGGTGAGGGGGTTCGAATGGTAGTGGGGTATGATGTTCTCGGTGACCGGTGGTGGTCGATTGTTGAGGAAGAAGGCAGTGGTTGCGATTCTTCTGGCTCTCTAATGAGAAAAGGGGCGTTTTCCGTGTTTTTATAATTTTACCTTGTATTGCCTGAAAACACACAAAACGTCCATTTTGACGTTTTCAGTTTTCAGGCAAATTTTTTTTTTTCCTTCTTCAGAAATTCGTTTTTGAAAACGAGAAAGAGAACGCATTTTCACTATTTTGAAAAATCGAAAGCAGAAAACGACTCCAAAATAGCAAAGAGAACATGGCCTAATTCTTTGAAGATTCGTGTGGGTAAAAAAAAAAAAGAAAAAAAGAAAAAAAATTTTAAATTTATGTCTACTTACATTTGTACGATGAGTTCAGAAAAAAGAAAAATCTGGCGTCAAGGGTTTAAGGGTTTAACAAACCGAAACTCCCAACAAAGTAGACAGACAGTAACCATCAAATTCCCTTCAAATCCTCGCCATGAGAAGAGCTTCATCGAGACTCCTCTCTCACCTCCTCCAACCACCCACCAAAACTTCTTATTATATCCTTTACAGAGACTCCACCACCCACTTTTCTTGCCTCGCCGCTGCCACCACCACCGTCACCACCAATGATCGGTCTTTGAGCCACAAGTCACATTCCCATCTGAATTCTTGTTCAAAGACTCCATCTTTCCTCCCCTCTAGGCCCAAAACATCTCAGAATCTGAACACCCTTGTTGACCCAAATGGCCAAAATGTCTCTAAGATGTCCTCAAGACAGAGGAAAATTAAAGAAAGATCACAAATTGAGGAGGCTTTTGAGTCGGCCGAGTCGGCGGACGACATGCTTGAAGCTTTCAAAGACATGGAGGCGTCCTTTGATGAGAGAGAGCTGGGCTTGGCGTGCTTGAAAATGGGCCTCAAACTTGACCAAGAAGGCGAGGACCCTGAAAAGGCTCTGTCTTTTGCTCAAAGGGCTTTGAAAATCATGGATGATAATCAGAATAATAGTAATAAATCGTCTTTGCCTCTTGCCATGACTTTACAATTGTTGGGTTCTGCTTCTTACAGTCTAAACAGGTTTAATGATAGTTTGGGGTATTTGAATAGGGCTCATAGAGTGTTGAGCAAGATAGAGCAGGAGGGTTCCTGTAGTGCTAATGATATAAGGCCTGTTTTACATGCTGTTCAGTTTGAATTGTATAATACTAAGACGGCAATGGGTAGGAGAGAGGAGGCTATTGGTAATCTTAGGAAGTCTTTAGAGATTAAAGAAATGACTTTGGAAGAAGATAGTAGAGAACTTGGCAAGGCCAATAGGGATGTAGCAGAGGCATATGTTGCTGTTTTGAATTTTAAGGAGGCACTTCCATTTTGTTTGAAGGCAATGGAAATACATAAAACGCAGTTGGGGCATAACTCGGTGGAGGTTGCCCATGATAGGCGGCTTCTTGGAGTTATTTATACTGGATTAGAGGAGCATGAGAAGGCGCTGGAACAAAATCAATTATCACAAAGGGTCTTGAAGAACTGGGGTCGTAGTTCAGATTTGCTACGTGCAGAGATTGATGCTGCCAATATGCAAATTGCCTTGGGGAGGTATGACGAGGCTATTAATACTTTGAAGGCCGTTGTTCAGCAGACTGACAAAGAGAGTGAGGATCGAGCTTTGATCTTCATTTCCATGGCCAAAGCTTTGTGTAATCAGGAGAAGTTTGCAGACTCAAAGAGGTGCCTCGAGATTTCCTGTGGAATTCTAGACAAGAAAGAAAGTTCTTCTCCTCTCAATGTCGCTGAGGCATTTATGGAGATTTCTATGCAGTATGAGACAATGAATGAATTTGAAACTGCAATCTCCTTGCTAAAGAGAACAATGGCAATGCTTGAGAAACTGCCTCAAGAACAACATTCAGTGGGAAGTGTTTCTGCTAGAATTGGTTGGTTGCTTCTGTTGACAGGCAAGGTGGAAGAGGCAATTCCTTACTTGGAAGATGCTGCAGAAAGATTAAAAGAGAGTTTTGGTTCCAAGCATTTTGGAGTGGGTTATGTTTATAATAACTTAGGAGCAGCTTATTTAGAATTAGAGAGACCACAATCAGCTGCTCAGGTGTTTGCATATGCGAAAGATATCATGGATGTTTCTCTAGGTCCTCATCATGCGGATTCGATAGAAGCGTGTCAGAACCTTTCAAAAGCATATGCTGCGATGGGAAGGTAAAATAATTAAAAAACCCTTTGCCTTTCAATAGCTATTTATTAACCATTGTGTTTGAAGTTCCTAGTTTAGTACTCAAAAGGATGTTTTACTTTTTTGTGAATACTAAGTTCCCACCACACGTTATCGCAGAAGACTTCATTAAGTTTCTGATATATTTCTAGAGATTACATCATGCTATTTTTTTCAAACACTCCTGGTTCATATATTGTGTAAGTAATTATTACGGGTGATGTTCATTGTTAAATTCCCTTTGACACTTAATAGTTAATCATTCTCAAGATAGGGCGTAGGCATCACCATGTACATCATTCTGAGCAGGATGGACTTTTTTCTCTTCATTCTTTTGAGTGTGTGTTGTGGGGCTGGACTTTCCAGAGCTTCTGCAGTTCTGCTTCTCTAAGGAGAGTCGAGGCTTGAAACTTTGTTTTAGGAATGGAGACAATGAACCAGAAACGAATGTGGTCTTTGACTTGTGCATGTATGGGATGATAATAGTTTTATTCACATGATGTTTTGTATTATGAAAATACAGGTGCCCCACCTTACTCTTACTGAGTATTTAGGCTTATTTATGTTGATCGAGTGGATGCACACACACAACAATGCATACATTGATGTGGTTTTCAATGGATATGCAAACACTAGATTGAACCTTGTGATGGGTAACAATTTAACAAAAGAAAGAACGATATAAGGAATGAAGGCTGCAGTTTATAGAATCACTTGAATGGAAATACAGTAATGAAAGAAAACACTAGATAGCAAGTTAAGAGGACTATTACTCTCCTATTCTCTATTACAACCTTTTCCTGCCTAATCATCCCACCCTACTCTCTATTTATAATACACTGTAACCACTTGGCCTGCTAGCTTGCAGAATGTTGTTACTCCCTTGCTTCTCCATTCTTCTTGGACCTTCTAGAATAGGTGTACTTAATCGGTGGCCTTTCCATACCCCGGGGTTCCAAAGAAACCTTGTCTGCAAGGTTGAAATCAGGAAAGTGCTGAGTAATAGATTCCACTGTTTCCCAGGAGGCTTCAGCAGTTGGTAAACCTTTCCATTGAATCAAGACCTCCTGCTGTCCAGTTGGTAACTTCTGCATCTCTAATACTTGGTCAGGTCCCACAATCCAATCCAATGTGGCATCCAAATGAGGTGGTAGATGAGGACAAGTTCCTGCAGCTCCCACAGATTTTCTCAGCTGTGAAACATGAAAAATTGGGTGGATGGTGGCTGTAGGGGGACGTTCCAGAAGGTATGCAATTGGTCCCAGACGTTTGACAATTCTGAAAGGTCCAAAATAGCGGGGGCTGAGCTTTTCATTGATCTTTTTAGCCAAGGAGCGGAGGCGGTATGGCAGAAGCTTCACATAAACCAAATCACCTTCATTGTATTGGACATCCCTGCAGTGCTGATTGGCTTGTGCTTTCATTTTATTTTGGGCCCGCAATAGGTGGGATTTCAGCTCATCCAACATAGCATCGCGGTCACACAATTGTTGCTCCACTGCTGATGCCTTTGTAGTTTCTTTTCCATAGCGAATCAATGGTGGAGGACCCCGGCCATAGACCACTCGGAAAGGAGTTGTGTTTGAAGAAGCATGGAAAGTGGTTTTGTACCAATATGCTACCCAGGGAAGCCAGTTGTGCCACTGTCGTGACTCGTCATAAGAAAAACATCTTAAATATGTCTCCACACATCGATTTACTACCTCCGTTTGGCCAGCTGTTTGAGGGTGGTAAGCAATACTCCTTTGATATGTACCCTGCATCCTGAAAATCTCAGTCCAGAAATAACTGAAAAACACCGTGTCGTGGTCTGAAATAATGGAACGAGGAATGCCATGGAGCTTAACTACTTCCTGGATGAAAATGACTGCTACAATAGAGGCGGCGAAGGGGTGTTTGAGAGGTATGAAGTGGCCATATTTGCTTAAGCGGTCCACTACCACAAGAATCAAATCATGCCCTCCTGACTTAGGAAGCCCTTCTATAAAGTCCATGGAAATGTCCTCCCAGATCATGCGAGGGATAGGCAAAGGCTGCAGCAACCTGGTTGGTGACATGGCTAAGCTTTTGTTTTGTTGGCTGGTTTGGCATTCCTCCACAAATTTTTTAATGTCTTTCATTTCGGTCCAGTATAGATCGGCTGTAAGGCGTTGGAATCCCGAATGCCCCCCTATGGTGCTGCAATGAAACTCTCGCAGAATCGAAGGAATCAAGGACAAAGATTGTGAAATAACCAGCTGCCCCTTGTACAATAATCTGCCGTGTTCCAAAGAATATCTCCGGTGAGAGTCAGGGTCTTCTTGTAGGTTTCCCTTAATTTTGGAGAGCACATGGTCAGCCTTCACTTGATCCATCACTGATTGTACGTCCAAAACCAAGGGAAAAGTAAGGTTTGCTAATTCGACCGATGGGGGTACTCGAGATAGAGCATCATCCACCTTGTTTTTTCTAGCCCCGGCCGATATTGTATCTCGAAATTAAAACCCATGAGTTTGGTTATTATCACGGGGACGAAATCTAAGTAAAATACTTAGCCAAATTTCCGCCTATGATGGCTCTAAGGTCCACCCAGTCAGCCCACTGAATTAAACAATACACACACACACGAAATGTAAAGGAAGACAATATTACGAGTAAACCCAACTTGTTTTATTACTCAACAATAATACAAGACACAAAGGAATATTGAAGGAACACAACACGTTTTTTTGTGTCTCATCAGCCAGACCTCTATTTATAGGCCAAAACTCGTATGCAATTAACACCCTTAACTGCCAAAGGGATAAACCAACCCAGCTGGCTAGAACATGCTAGAAACCGTATCCCACAACTATTCCTAGCAACTGTCCACACTTTCCACTAGTATGGATTCCGAAAACTGTCCAGCACATGTGTCAAACATGTGCCCCATTTGGACACCCGAATTTGTGGACTAAAGCCCACTAGCAGCAAGCTGGATCAGCCCATGTCTTGTCAGTCTGCAACACTTTGACACCAATCAAATTGCAGCCCACATTTTCCTTGCTTTGAAAATTCAAAGTGTGCACCATCAACACACTGATCCGCAAAATCCTAGCATGAGTGCAAGGCATCTCATGCCATCGCACATGTCAACCTTCAAGGGGTTGACAAACCTCTCCCACCAGAAGAGTTCGACGTTCTCGTCGGAAGAGAATCAAGATACTCCTTCACATTGTCCTCGAATTGCCACAGATTAATGTCTTTTTCATAGGTTGCATCAATTCCAATATCACCTATCACCTTTCCACAGAACAAGATAGTCTGTCTGTTTGTTCTTTTTGTTTGCCCCCATTGTTCGATGACCGATGATTTTTGCCACCTCCTTATCATATTGTTTTCTAATAATAGGAGGAGCCCTCTTGGCTTGCAAACGATCTTCTCCCACCAAACTTTCATTAAAGGGCTTTAGATAGCTTACATGGAAAGTAGGATGAACCTTCAAACGATTAGGTAGTTTAAGTCGATATGCTACATTCCCAACACGCTTGATTAGTTCAAAGAGACAATCATACTTTTGAACCAACTCACGATGCACGGTCTTGATACTAATCTTCTTCCGATAACTGTCCAGCACGTGTCAAACATGTGCTCCATTTGGACACCCGAATTTGTGGACTAAAGCCCACTAACAGCAAGCTGGATTAGCCCATGTCTTGTTGGTCTGCAACACTTTGACACCAGCCAAATTGCAGCCCACATTTTTCTTGCTCCGAAAATTCAAAGTGTGCACCATCAACACACTGATCCACAAAATCCCGACATGAGTGCAAGGCGTCTCATGCCATCGCGCATGTCAACGTTCAAGGGATTATCAGTTATCCACCTTTGAAAATCACCGTGCACAATGTTGCTCTAAAAGAAACTTCAAACTTTGCTGATCGGTGTGTACGATAAACCGTCTTTCCAATATACAGGGCCTCCATTTTTGAATAGAAAACACAGTCGCCATTAACTCCCTCTCGTAAACTGATTTGAGACGATTTTTGGCTGATAACACTTGGCTAAAATAGGCAATTGGTTGCTGATTCTGCATTACTACCGCTCCTAAACCATACCCCGAAACACAAATAGTTGTGAGAAATCAAGCAACGCTAACACTGGCACTGTTGACACGGTTGACTTTTTTCAGGAATGCAGATTTAGCTTCACAGGTCCACCTACAGGCATCCTTCTTGAGTTTCATGAGAGTCCATGCAATTGTCCCGTACCTGGACACAAAACGACGATAGTACCCTGTCAACCCTAAGAATGCACACAGCTCTCTGAGGTTTTTGGGAGTGGGCCACTGTTTCATTGTTGTAATCTTACTAGAATTTGCCTCTACCCCTCTTGCAGACACTACATGCCCCAAATATTCAATCTATGATTGGGCGAAATTGCATTTCTTTTCATTAGCATATAACTAGTGAGTGGATAAGGCCTTAAAAACCTGCTCAAGGTGTTGTTCATGGGCCGTTAAGTCCTTACTGTAAATCAGGATGTTGCAAAAAAATACCAGCTCAAATTTTCCGAGGAAGAAGCAGAACACTTGGTTCATGAGAGACTGAAAGGTGATGGGAGCATTTGTGAGCCCAAAGGGCATTACTAGGAACTCGTAATGACCTTCATGTGTCCGGAACATTGTTTTATGCACGTCTTCCTTTCGTACTCTTATTTGATGATACCCGAACTTCAAGTCCAATTTGGGAAAATTTTTTGCTCCATGTAATTCATCTAATAGCTCATCAATAACAGGGATGGGGAATTTGTCCGGAATGGTAACCTTATTTTGAGCTATGTAGTCGATGCAAAATCGCCAACTTCCATTTTTTTTTTACTATAACATTAGACTGGAGAAGGACTAACACTAGGTTGTATTACCCTGGCTGTCAACATTTTCCTCACCAATCGCTCATTTCATTCTTTTTTAATGTGGGGATATCTGTACGGCCTGTTTCCTATCGTTCCTGCCCCGTCTTGCAGCCTA